AGCAGAGAGTGAGGTGATTTAGGGGGTGAGCAGGGAGTGATCTGAGTTGGCGCTTGGTCCCTCCCCCACCTCCTCAGTGGCGGAGCTGCCTCTTGTTCACCCCGTCCCCAGAGGGTGCCCGGAGGCGGCCGCGTGGCCGGCGGTTTCCAGGGCGCCCGTTGCCTGGGAGACGGCGTCGGCGGGCGGCTGGTGCTCGGCGTGTTCCCCGCGCATGGCCAGCAGCGCCTGCAGCTCCCGGATGTACTTGATGGCGGCCCGGAGGGTCTCCACTTTACTGAGTCTCTTGTCAGTGAGCTCCTGCGGCAGGTGCTGCCTCAGCTGCGCGTAACCCTCGTTCACGCACTTCACCCTCTGCCTCTCCCTCTCGTTGCGCTTGCGGATGAAGGCGGGTTCGTAGGAATAGTCGTAGCCCCCGCCGAACGGGCTGGCGAAGGGGATCGGGGGGTAATAGTGCCAGGCCGGGTAAACATCGTTTGCAAAGGCATCCGTGCAGGAGCGCTCGGCGCAGGACAGCGTCGGCATGTCGTCGGGGTGCCTTAGTCTGGGGGGCTCGGGACACGGTAAACCGGAGAGATCGGCAGGGACCGGCGGAGTCAGCTGCATGCAGGCGGCCTCGCCAAAAGTGATCCTCTCCAACAGACTGTCGTAATTTTCCGCCTCCATCTGAAACACGTAACTTTCCGGGGATGCCATCGCCATGGAGCTTTCGATCATATTGGGCGTCGCGCTGTGCTTTGCAGGAGGAAGAAGTCAGGTACAAATTAGTGATTTCATTTTCTTGCATTCGCAGTCGTTAAGACTTCTTAAGACGGGGGTACAATATCAAAAGACCGCAAGAAGTATCGCAACAAACAGAAAAGTCCTCTCCAGCTTTCGCCCAGAATTTATCATGAATTATTAGTGAATACAAATAACTAACTAAAGAGCAGCTGCAGTTCTGAAGAAGAGTCACTGGACCCGAAACGTTAACTCTGTCTTCTCTCCACTGATGCTGCCAGATTTGCCGAGCTCCTCCAGCAATTTCTGTTTTCGTAGCGGCCGCACTTAACAGCTTTTAGATATAATATCGCTTTAATATGAATTCGATTCATATATAAGGTATTCGTTATTATTTATTTGTAGGGTGTAATTAAAACTATTTTCAACTAACATAAATCAGTGGTAAAACTCATAGATCTCGTAGAGTTTATAGGATATTTTACGAGGTAGAAATTCTGTTGAATTTTGTGTAAACAAATATTTGATTAATCACTGGAACGCGTGCGGTAATGCATCATATATTTGTTTAGAATCTAATACTTAAAAGTAGCGCGAACAAAATATTAAAGCAATAAATCTTACCCGGAACCTATCGGAGAATAATATCTGGACACAGTTCACTAGAGGCAAAATAAAGTTGGACTGGTCGTAGAATCCATAAACAACCAGTTTATGAGCTATTACAGAATAGCTTGAGGCTAGTTCAATCTGCAATGTTGTGGTTCAGTTTTTATTGGAACCAGTTTAGATACGTATCATTTTACATTACAGTCAACCTGTTCCAGAACCTAAGCGATTTTGGCGTTTGCAAATGATTTTCTTACAGATAAAACAGGCTTTTAAACATTTAATATGTACACTGATTTCGTCTTGTCAACCCTACAATCTATTCGTGTAGCAACTGTCAAAATTGTGAACTAAATTTCAGATTCTTAATAAATTTTGAGCTGTGAAGGAATTTCCTTGTGGTATCGGGTTTCAGGTACATCATGATAGTAAACGAATTGGTCGTTTACTTTCATTCAGCTTCTGTCAGTTTTAGACTATTATTATATCAACCGCCCTTCCCTCTACCAGCCCTTTTGCGTTCACTTTTAACTGGTATCCAGTAAATTCAGTTCTGAGGAAGGGTCCCTCGACCAGAAATATTAATTCAGTTCTGCTAATGGGTGGGCAGTTCAAAATGCCAGAATAGTGCACATCACATCAACACATCCTCTAGAATATACAAACAAATTGCAAGTCGAAGATGCAGGAAACCATTGCATTTCATTCTGTTGGACCAGGCGATTACCTTTTGTCAGTTATACAATGAAGCTCACTTCAGGTAAACTTGGCTATGGGGTCACCCCAGTGGAATCTAGAAAAAAATAGTAGCATGAGACAATCAATAGGCATTGTCACTATTTTGGCATTGAATTCAGTGTTATACCTACAGCCAATGCAAAGCAGCATTAAAATATTGTTTAAGTATGTCGAAGTTACCAAGGAGCCAACTATTAACGTTAAAACATATTTAGCATGTGGATGCTGGCGATAAAAGCTCTGCTCGTTGGGTACCGCAGCATCAGGAGACGCACCCAAAGAAACAAAACTACAATCTTTCGGTTTTGAAGCAAGAACTGGAAGCGTGCTATGCTCTGCACTTGCCAGATAAGTTCAATTAAGGGAGTTGAGTGATGTGCCAAGGAAAGTCGAAAGCAAATTATGTTGGCAGAAGAGTTATATTTAAGCCTACATAGATCCGGAGTGTTGACAGTTTCCATAGTTCTTCTATAGTAGCTTGGTGGAGAATTGTCAGCTATTTGTATGAAACTTGCCTCGTTGACATCCTAAAATAAATTCTCCCCGCATTTTTATGTCTCTCAACAGCACCTATAATAAAATCATGGCCTGACAGCAGTTGCTTCTGTGCATCCTATTATCATGCTGGAATCATTGTCAATGTTATTAGTAACAGCACTGGGCAATTAATGCTGACCCATCCAGCGACACCTAAGAATCATTAAAAAAAAAACTTCTGTAACGAAATCAACTCAGGCTTTTTTGAGATATAGAAGTTTTTTCAAAATGAGTTAGGAGAGGAAATACATTTAAATCACCGAATTCGAGATAGGTGTTAACGGGAAGGATAAACGTCCTTTTATTTTGACGGGAAAACCAGCCAATATGCTTGAAAGTTGTAATGTTGTTCTTTGCTGATCGATGGCGAACTACGGCAGAAACGAACTGTAGAAACATCACAAATTAAGATACCGAATGGTGTAGCATGAAGTCATATACATCAGTAGGTTTAAGTTTTTTTTAAGACTTAATAAAAATCATAAATGAGTTTGTATCTCACTTAGTTCAGCAAGTGAAAAGCGTATGTGTGTTAGTTGAAAAAAATTTGATAACTTTTACTATTCGATAGTCACACAGATTCACTCTTTAGGCTTATGTGTAAAGAATGACTGATGCCTTCGGTATTGAAAGAATGCCGGTCTTCGTGAATCCGTTATATTATCTGCCGGTTCCTTTTATACAGGTAGTTCAAAGAGAAATCCTTCAGGTGCAGTTTTGTAGTTTAGCGTAGGTTTCAATTATGGATAGAGAAATCAATGGTAAAAGATGAAAATCAGTGGATAAAAATCCATTAAACCACATGATACATATACGTAGTTTATTTACACTAGTCATGATTTGTGCAAAGACCATTTTATTTTGGACTGTGAACTAAAAATAGGAAATGATGCTGTTTTAAACCAAAGAAATGTATGAGCTTTTTGGAGCTTTTATAAACATGTTATTGGAACAAGTTGTGAGTTTTTCTACAGTATTCTCGTATTCATGTGGTGAGGGATCATTCCAAAAAGGATGGCACCATCTGAATTTATTCAGGGTTGTTTTGCCCAGAGACAGTCTTTTGATTGGTTTTCGGTTGGACCTGTTGTTATGGGCAAAAAGGGACCAGAATACTAACAGCCACTTGATTGGTTTCTGGGCAGGTGGCCGTAGCCATAGTGTGTGCGGTCAATAAATGGTGAGTTTCTAGCCTACAAAGAGAAAACACTTCAATCTCTGTCTTGCTTTCATATGGAGAAGTGACAGAAAATCTCCTGGTGGCTGTTCCCACTCACCATTTCATTAGAAACTGCTCTCTACAAATTGCCTGGTTGAAAGGAAAAAGGCAAAAAAAAACCCCTTTAGAGGAGCTGAAAGAGCAAATCCTCAACCATTGAATGTAAGAGTGAGAATTGGTATATCCACAAACTTGCATCATGAGCAAGGAGTTAGAGGTTTTAAAGGAACATGAAATAAATCAACTCAACATCTATGATCCAGACTGGTGCCAGAACTGTGCTTCTCTGGTTTGTCCTTCTCCACTCCACCAATGTTGTATATTGTCTTGACCTTGTGTGTCTATTTGCATGTGAGTGGGAATGTTAAAAAGGGATAGAGTTTAACTT